TTTATAAATTTTGTTAAAAAAAAAAATTCGAACTGGTGGCAACTTTTTTGCAAAATAAATGAAAAATGTACAAAACTGTTTCTGGAAATCGTATATTTTGTTATCTATGTGTACATCATAATAACAATTGAAATTTTTATAGCATTGAAATGAAATGAAAATTGAAAATAGGTACTTCTAACAACTATTAAGTTTGATATATATATTTACTCTGTTTTACGTGGATTTGATTGGTTAACAGTTATAAAACATGTGGCAACCCTACGTAAAAAATAATTTTAACTGTAAATCCCCGCCAGTTGACACTTACTATAAGTATTGTGGTATTTATCTACATGCATGTATCATCAATTTGTTTTAATGAACGTATGGAAACAAGTGGCAGCACTACCTTTTTTGTTTTGAAAAATAATTTTAACTATAAAATATCTTAAATCTTTCCAGTTAAATATACAAATTGTAGTTTTTATGTAAATAACCCTCTAAATAAAATTTTTGAAAAAGTGGCAACTCTACTCTTCTTGTTTTGAAAAATAATTTTAACTATAAAGTTTTTTAAATCTCTCCACTTGTATGATTGTATTTTTTATCCATCAAATTGTTTTAATGAAATTTTTGAAACAAGTGGCAACTCTATCTGTTATTTGTTATAAAATAGTTTTAATAAATTTCTTAAACTTCTCCAGTTAATCACAAAGATTGTAGTTTTAATCTACTAAATTGTTTTAATAAAAGTTTTGAAATAAGTGGCAACTCCACCGTTTCGGTTTTGAACTATTTCAGAAGTACACAAAACAATTTATAATTTTTATTCTAACCAATTGCGATTTAACTATGGTAGTAGTCTGTGCAGTGCGAGCGTGACTGAGTTTTGTTGCGTTACATAAATTCGTTGCAGCCACAAAAATTTACTGCATTATCTGAATTTTTAGAAACAAAGAAATTAAAAATTTTTAGAAATGAAAAGTTTCCTATAACGTCAATGTGACCATAAGCTAAAAATATAGGGTGCCCATCTAAGCTCATTGTAACAAATCGGTCATAAAATAACTTATAAAAAAATTTAAATCACAACTTTGCTGTAAAATGTTGCCGTTAAAAATGGGAATGTGTATTTCTGTTTTTTTTTTCTTCTTTTTTTTGGTGAGACAAGTATACAAAACGTATGATAAGATAAGCCATTTGCGCTCTCAAACAAGCATAACACACAAAATGTATAAAATGGCAAAAATCGCAATATATAAAAATACATGTTCTATATACATACATATGTACATAGTGAAGTACGCACAACAGTAGAGTAAATACATAATATGCATGAAATCAACAACAATTGCAAACAATATGACAAACTGAAACACATTAAAAAAGGCAAAACAAAGTCGGAATGGAAATATAAAAATAATGTTTAGTGGCGTAATAGGTTTTTTCGACAAAGATCTTTCAAAACAGCACATTTGTATAAATACATACGATATGTATCAAATTCTGACCGTGTTCCCTTATACGTAGTGCATTCCTTCAAGCATACTATACATACCCTGTAGGTATGAAAAGCATGAACTGACGTCGATTCCACGAAGGTATTTCAAGTTTCGCAAATTTTTCTTCCTACTGCAATTTTTTCCCACAGGGCATACATCTCTTAATTACATACATATATTCATGAGTGTTTGCAGAAAACTATGTAAATTAAATATTTGCCGATTTGAAATGGTGTGTGTCGTGCATTCGTACAAATATTCTTATTCGAAAAGCTGTTGGAAATTTATAGCTGATTTTTAAAAATAAATACATATTTGAAAATTGCGCTTAGTGGACGCAAAATTACTCAGGAAAATGTTAGAGAGGGTTAATCCCAAAAGTGACAATGTGAGCGGTTGTTAGAGGATTCAGTGGATATGGATGCATATTCGATATCATCGATAATTTAGTTATAGAATAGAAATAGAAACATTTTACAAAATAAAAAGTCGTAAATGCATTTCATCATTTGTGTGATTAGTTTTAATCCTTCCGAGATTGCTATATCCAAATGTTTTCGACTTTTTTATAAAAGTGCATACATATATTAACTTAACTTAAACTTAGTAAATATTTAATAGTATAATTATTATACTCGCTGGTGAAAATATACAATATTTTATTATATAAATATATTTGAAATATTCAACTAATGGAGCGATCACGATTACTTCACAATGAAACTTAAGCCCACCTTAAGTTTACTTTAATACCGCACAATTTTTTTTCTTCAAAGTATGAACTATACAAAATCGTCAGCAAAATGAGCTTGTCCTCTTCTACAAATACCTAAACTTGTTTTTTCGCTTTGTCCTTAACCACTCGTCACGTCAAACTCAGTCACGCTCGCACTATATCTTTTAAGAACTGTTGCTATAATTTCTACTAATAACCTCTTCATCATCTTCGTCCTCAACTCTTAAACCATTTGACTTGATTTGTACTTATACTACTTGTATAAGAACAGAACGATCTTGAAGAGATACAACTAGAGTTTCATTTGATACAATAAGGAAGAGCTTTTCTTTAGAATACTCTGTTGAGTTCCTAATAACAAAAATATTCCACGATGGATCACCGGATGGCAATTGTTGTGCTATTTTTCAACCACTTAGTACCCTATTGGGAATCTCACTTACTGTGAAAGAATTTCAGAAGGGTCGTTGTCATTATGTTGGGCCGAAAGTCTTAATGTGGAGTTCTTGTTAGCTTATATAGACGTAAGGAAGTAGTTGAATAGTTAATAGTTAATAACAAAGGTTGTATGTAATAAATGACAACATTTGACCCGGATTGACATTTTCACATATTTTGATATATATTTACCTTAAAAATAGTTTCTTAAACTAATTCAAGTAACTTTCTATACAATTGTTGTAAGGCATCTGTTTTCTTGGTTTCGTCTCATTTTTAGATCGCCATACGCTAAAGTGTTGGACAGTTTCGACGTTAGATGCATTAACCCACTTCTCATCACCACTGGGTTTAACGACTGCTGATAATACGGTTCTCAACCTCGTTGACAGACATATCTTTTGTGACCTTAACACTACTTCGTATTTGCAGAACGTGCAGGTCTTTTGATACGAGTCATGCAAGACAAGCTTTATACCCAAACCATTAACTAAAACTCATTGGTGCCATCCTGACGATTTGCAAGCATTGTTTCTTCTAACCTTTTCGAAATTATCGTCATAGTAGAGTTGATAATGATTTCAAGAAGGCTTTTCCGTAAGCGTTACATTTCAACATACAATTTTCCAAGAAAGATTTTTTAAAACTTTAGTTGTTGAGGGTCGGTTTAAAACTTGTAATTCCCGCCGTTTGTCTAAGAGCGGTAAGAGAGAAGAGTATACCGCTCAAAAAGCTATCAAAATAAAAAGCTATTTACTTTTTACTTATTTACTTACAAATTCTTTGCTCTCAATTTGCGATTACAATTTGATTATTTTTAGACTTTTGTTAAGTGAGGCGTTTTAATAAAGTTCTCGTATCACTATGCATTTCCGATTTCTTTGTTTCTTTTAATTTTAATTTATTCATAATTCCACTAATAATTTTAGCTTTTATTGTTGCTTGTAGTTAATTCCCTTCTTCAGTTCTAAATTCTTATACTCATTCATAATTATTTTATGTACATACATTTGCTGGTACTTGTACAAATATATATTGTATTTCCCGATTTTTTGTTTGTTCCATTTGCTTTTATTAAAAGTCACGTCGTTTATTTCCGGTCTTTCAGCGCCAGCGTCGACCGTTTGCCCGGTTACCGCATTTGCATTTGAATAGTACCTAAGTACTTAAATAGATATATATGTATGTATTAGTACATATGTACATATGTGAGTAAGTAAGCACACGCACTCTATGTGATTCACCAGAGTTGAGGCGGCGGTGGCTGGGTTAAATGTAAATTTCGTTTTTTCATACGCAGTTTGACAAGTCTCCAATAGTTTTGATGGAATATGCTGAGCCCTATTTTTGTAAATACTAATGTATACATATTTAGCTATCATATAAGCTCCTATGCTAATCATTATTTTGCTCTTAAAGATTGCCGCGATTTATGCTTGTAATTAAAATGGTTGAGTATTCTGATTACATTAAAAAAAATTGCTCTAAAAGAAAAGTCATGGAAAAATCTTATGGTTTACATGCGCCCAGTAAGAGCTTTTTGACCAAAGGTATCCTCGTTCATGATTTTTAAGACTCATACGGAAAATATTAATGCTGCGAAGTAAAACTTGTATATCAAAGTCTGAAAATCTCTTTTCTCTATCATAAAAAAGTTTAATTATTCATCAATATTTATTCTCTCGTTTTCAAAGTAATCCCCACCAGATGTAATGCACATTTCGTAAGCACTTTTTGGGATAATCTCCAGCTCCTTCAGCGAATTTTGTTTTATCTCTTCGATCGATTGAAAACGGGTTTCAGTTTAAGCAAAAAAAACAACAAAAAAAAAAAAAAATTACACGGCGCCAAATGTGGTGAATGAGGTGGTTGATCGATAGTCCTGTCGTCTTTGGTTTAAATTCGGTCACAATAATACTCTTTGAAAAAAAAAAAAAAAAAAAAAAAAAAAAAAAAAAAAAAAAAAAAAAAAAAAACTCAGATTTATCCGGACGAGTCGAGCAAGAACGCGCTTCATACCAAAAATTTCCACCAAAATCATTCAAACGGACTCCCGAGCTCTCTCTCTATCTCTCTAACACTTTCCTAATGATTTTACGGCACCATATCCTATACTTTTTTTTTAATATTTTCATAAGTTTAAAAGATCTAAGGTTATCCAGAACGTATCATGTCTTCAACGATCACTTGACCATCTTTGAAGGCTTTGTATCACTCGTAAGCTTTTGTTTTGATAAAACTCAATCACAGTAAGTCTCTTCAACATTTGCACCCGCACACGAAATTCGGTTTGAAATACAAATTTTGAGAATTCATTGTTTGATATTCATGTCTTTAAATTGAATTTCCTATTTAAGAGTTTCCAATATGCTACTAATACTCAGCGTGGCACTGGGCGATAGTCGGAGTGGTTTAATGTATTACTTTACCTATTTTTGTGTTGCTTTTTTCGTGGTCTTAAATCAATAGTCAAGTTTTGAGTAAAGATAAAAATCACAATTGATCAAAGAATTCTTGATTCATTATGATAATTATAAAATATCGTATCAACTGATTGTTAAATTTTCCCTATAGCTAATTCAGGCAGCAAAGAAGTAACTCTCAAACAACTGTCCCTGATCTGTCACATTTTGCAATCAAGTAGTTTCCTACTGGGCCTTCACCATATAGGCTACACATTCAAATCACATATGGTATGCAATTAATCACAAAAACCACAGACACTGACTCAATACAGTGTACTAAAGAAGTACTTTATCTTAATTTATAATTGATTACAATTTTAGTTCTATTAATCAGAGTCGTATCTTTATCAAAGCAAAGTCTTTCTTGATAATCAGTCAAGAATTTTACTTTACTTAATGAAGGCATAACAGTATTTAAAAAAATACTATAAATATATTACGTATTGCTCTGTTACCTAGTTTATCCCCTTTTTTATATACATACATACATACATACATACATACATATGTATATATGAACAAATGACGAGTGGAGAGAGTGATAGTTTGCGCAAATCACACTATCAATTGAATGTTTGTAAATTTGTACTTTATATTTTCAAGTATGAATTCATAATAATGGTTTAGATAATATTGTGTATTGTTTGTAATACTATCATAAGAATTTTGTAATAAATGGGTTTTAGGTATTTGAGTTGAGAGTAGGAGAGAGTAAGTGACTATACGATGTAAATGATCAATAAATGGCAGCTAACTTCGCAAATTTTAGAATTTCTTCTTATTCGTATTCAAAAAACCCATATGTTGGAGGAATGATAAGATAAAGTAAATTAGAACCTCTCAGTATGTTATATACTGATATGCTTTTTGACTACATGATTGTATCTACTGTCAAGACTGAAGCTACTATTCTCTACAAGTACTTATATTTGAGATGTTTTTGTTTCAATTAATTTTTATTTCGGTTCTGGCCTTTGTGTTCTCGTTCGATCTGTAAAAAAGCCAAAATGAAGTCTTAATCAACGCAGCTCAGTTCTTTTACAGCCAGTGTGCCGAAAATACGACCTACCATCTGATGAAATTTGACCTGGACTGACAAAAAAAAAAAAAAATATCAGCGTGAACTTAATCCAATTGTTCATATACTTGCATAAACCTCCGGTTTTTCCGGTTTCGGGTAATTCTTAGCACGCCATTCCTTAGATTGTTGGATAGTTTCAACATTATATCTATTCATAAATCCACGTTCGTCACCAGCGAAGATCTGTTTGACGTGTGTATGTAGAGTTGCCAGTAACGTTGTCAAGCATCTCTTATGTGACCTCTACTCGACTTTTGTTACGAGTTTAGCATTGACATTCTTCGTACCCAAAATATTAACCAGAATGTTTTGAGTCGATCCATTAAAGATGTTTGAGATCATCTACTACCACTCCGTTGCCAACACAATGATTTTCAAGCTCGGTTTCTTTAACTTTTCTGAGTTTATCGTCATTAACTCGTATGAGGGAAGTTTTCAATGGCCTTTGTAGAATGGTTTGTGCTACATAAATACATACATACATATGTAGTTGTGTTCGTGATAAAGTGGATTCCCCGAAACTTTTATTTATTTGTGGGAAGGCCATATCAGGGGCTCCTTATATTAAGAGGACATGTCAATTTCCGAATCATCCAAATATAATAGGTATAACCATAAAGAAAATTATGGATTGTTACAATTACATTATAAATTTGGTTATCTCCGATTAAGCCATCAGGGTGTCGGCTCAAACTAAGATTCCGGCCACGAAGTTAAAATATAAGATTCCAATATCGTTGGGGTTTGTTAAATGTAGCCATTGTCGCGATTAAATGGCTGAACTTTTGCAACATTTTAAAAGCTTCCGAAACACAAATTTTCAAACAAACTCGTACGTTCAATTTATTTAGCCATGGTATATCGCCATATGGTGATCAAAAGTCTTAAAAAGTGAAACAAATTCAAGAATCTTTGAAAAAAATTTTAATTGTTTCGGTTTTCTCACAGTTTGGGTTTTTTTTTTTATCAGTTGATATAACAATACTTTCACAAACAAATTTTGATTATGCTTATCTCAATATTAGTATTATACTATGTAGTATATTAACTAAACATTATTTTGTACGAAATAAATTCGCAAAGCTCGAATCACTTTTGTATATAAGCATACAATATAACTACATATGTTTGTTTTTATATAGTATATCTAACATCTAATAGATCTAATTTTTTACAATTCTGCACACCAAAACGTAAATATTTATACGCGTATTTGAAACTATCGCAGAAAAGTAGAAAACTTAAACAACAATTTCGAATAAACATTTATACAATGCTGTATATAACGCAGTTATTTACGATAAAACATTTGCATACATATACTTTTTGTAAAAGACTTTTCTCGCAACAATTCAATCTTAAACTTTTCAATGTCAACATAAAGTTCAGTGAGTCTACTTCAGAAAGAGACAAAACCGATATACATATGTATTTGCATATACATATTCAGTACATACATGCCGTTATAGGTAGCACTATATATTTTCTGGATTTATCGCAATCTTTTCTTACACATTAGTATTAACGGGCACTTAATTTTAGGAAAAATAATTTTCTTTGGCTTAAAATTGAAAAGCTATCAATTAGCACTGCGTACTTTTGGTACAAACTACCTAAGAAATGTAGCATTTTCAGTCAAAAAAGAAATACAAATTTTAACTCTTAACTTACTTAGATTGGTCTGATAGACCAATTGTCATTGACTATTTTTTTTTTTTTATAAAATAAGAAATAAAAAGCTATTCGTATAAAGTCGGTGAGAACAAAACGTCATTTTATACTTGGCATCCGTCATTTGAAAAATATGGTATAGCCTTGCGACAGTGAAATATTATTTATTATATTTTATGTCAGCAATGGGTCATTTTAGCCGCTTTCTTATTCGTTTCGCTACTCTCTAAAGT